AGTGAAGGCAAGATTACGCGAGTTGGAACACATAACAATAGCACTTTCAGCGAGTCCACAAAATTTTTCTGGGCGTTTTAATTCCACTTTCGCAGTGTCCGAGAAACGCAAAATTTATTGTGGAAAAATTTCTTAACGTTTCTTTTTCTTTTCTTTTTTTGTAGCATGATAACATGTTGGTTCGCTAAGGTCTGTCGACAACCCAAGGCGACACATGATTTCAGCGTTTTTCATTTAGTATATTTTTTTATTTTAATTAATTAGCAACACTTGATTTTGATCAGCTAGGTAATTTTAATCTATGAACTTAAATTACCCTGAAAATTTTTGCTGTTCTAGTTTATCGCAGACGTTGGGCCAAATTAGAGGCAAATTCCAGTTGTTTGATCTAAAATCGTAATTTTCTTTCAAGCCATTTCTAGCGATCATGAGGGATTCAACTTATTAAGTCGGAATCATAATTATGAGCTTTCCTCCTTAAGAGCCTTTGCGGAAAAAAATGGGAGGGAGTTAAACTGAGACGCTAACTTTGGTGAAATATTTTTTTATTATGAGAAAGCCAACCTTTTGTGACATTGTGACATATAGCATAGAACTCTTCCAAAACAGGGTGGATTTCGCTCTTTATGCGTAAATAGACTCCACATTTTATATTTCTCTAACTTCTCTTCAGTGAGCCTTTTGTTGGAGTTGGGGCGACTTTACGGTTCGCACTTATTTTGCTTTCAAGCAAATGAAAATGAGGGCAGGGATTTTTGACATTTTTGAACTGCCTAACGGGGAGAAATCATTTCATATCGTCCGAATATTTCATCATCATTTAATCTGGTGTCTGATTTTTCCATGTCGCAGGAAGCGCTGTTATGGCCGTTTTATAGGACGGGATTGGCGGTTTCCAGAATCAGACTAGCGCCAATCTTCTACTGAAGTCCGGGGCAACATTTGGTTTGCCATGGCCTTGCCTTAGGGCAGACCAACATTTTTGGGCAGATATTTTGATCTGCAATTTGATGAAGAATCATTCTCATCTTTTAATTTATCATAATCAACTCATTCTAATATTAACTCTGATTGGTCATTTAAGGGGAAAGAACTGACCGAAAAATGGGCATTTCATGTCAATGTAATTCAGAGGTTTTTAAATCAGAGTTGGTTGTATCAATGAGACCGCAAGGATGTTATATTTGAGTAATGGGAATTTGAGTTTATTACAATCTTTTTATTTTTTTTTTATTCTTTTTGGAGCTCATACGTGTGATAAGGTTACCTGATGAAGAAGATGCCTATTGCTGCACCACCGAAAGCCTTTCACCTGTCTCTGCATCCTACTGATATTGAGAACTTTGCCGCGATAGCGGGTGCACACTGAGCAAAATGGACTTAATGGTTAAACGATGACGAGAATGATCTGGTTGACGTAAGCCCAACGACCTGCAGACTATGGTAACTGAGTAGAATTCGACACTTGGAGGGTAATTCGCAAGTGGCAAAGAAAATGCCGCGGTCCTCCTTGCCCTAACCTCTATTCAGTAATTAGCTGTTTTCAGGTAACATTCACGCGCATGAGTGTTCGCTTTACGAAATGCTGTTGGCCGTCCACACCCTCAAGATCTAATGAGTCATCTGCATCGGTCTCCCCTGTTGCGACAAATGTCCCACAGAGTCAGCGTCTGACTGTCTTCATTTTGATGAGGTTCTGCTCGGCTCACCGTTGGTGTTCCTGCTCCTCGGCCAATCCTCGACCTGTTGTCTGATCACTCTCGAGGAGGTCCGTGGCCCGACATACCACACAGTGTTTCGCCCAGCTTAGGTGCACTGCACACCGGCTCCGTGCGTCCATGGAAACTGCAGTTGAAAGCAGGCTGTTCCTCCTAAGAGACTCCTCTCCCCGTCTTCTGGACAACTCCTGCTGTAAGCGGATGCTGAGCGACAAAACCATGAGGAAAAATGGGTGTTCGATGCGGTATAGATGATATTGGCCAGATATTGGCCTTCCTGAATTTTGCAGTTGGCAGCACATCGCTTGTCAATATATTGTTGATGGCGGCCGTTATTTGATTGTGTACAATTTTATCACATATGAGAGCTTAAATCTTTTCCTTATTCGATTTTCCCCATTTTTTTAAATTTCAGTTGTCGAGAATGCGACAAATTTTGTAAAAATTATCTTTTCTCTTGATGGAGGGGTGTGAATAAGGATAAGATTTCATAATTGAAATTATTTAGGATTATAAACAAATTAGGAGTGACGCAGATAACCATTACCAAAACAACTCCAGTTCAAGGAATTATTTTTGTGTGCCATTACTCAGGCGACAAACAGTGTGAATAATATTGTATTCCTTGCGGCGCATTGTATTTCGAGAACTTTCATGTAAATACGTATTGTTTGACTGTCGCGTTAATGAGAATAATAAGCGCGTGATGGGTAGGAGAGGGCAACGCTGATTTTTCTATAAATTGATAATGTAAGCCAAGCTTGGAGCTTTTTCACTTTCGTTCTGGGGCTGTCACTTTGTCCGGCAGATGCCTGCCGCGGTGTCTGAATTTTGTCAGACATAGTTCGTCTTTAGGAAATGTAAGTGTTTATTGTTATATTGTGTATTGCCACTGATAATTTTGTTATTTCACTGCTGATTAAGAAAAATGGGTTCAAATGATTTAGTTAATTTGACAGGTAGGGCCAGATGTATTTTAATTTCTGCATATTTTATTGTATTTTATTTATGTATATTTTGTAGTATTTATTTCAATAACTAATGTTAATTAAACACTTGATCCTGCATTTTATTCCTTATTGGCTGGCTTATCCACACTCCTTTTTAATGATTAGTATTTTTCAGTCAATTCAATTCAATTAATTTCTCACGCTACCAATTAAATAAAGAGTTCTTGATTCATTTTGAGTGACTGATTACTAAAACTTACTAAAACTGTAATGTCGTTATTTCGGGCTTAGAATTTTGGGGAAATTCAGTGGGCAGAGTAACGTGCATTCACAAATGTCGTAAAATAGAAATTGATAAATTTAAAATACAGTTTATGTATTATTGAAAGAAACTTGTATCTTACAAAAATAAAATAATTTGAATGTTACTTGATATGAAACATAAATTTGAAATTGCATTAAATTCTAGGTGATCAAAAGAACAGTGACTTACATATTAAAATATAAAAAATAAATTAGTTATACGCTTTTTTACTTATGTACTAATTCAAGAGTTACTAAAATTATTTTTTCTTGGTCTTTATTTTAGGCTCAATCTTTACATTTAATTTGCCCTGCTTTTCCACTCACAACTTGGCCAATTAAGACTCCAGGAGTAACGATAATAAATACGGATTAAGATTAGCGCGCTATTTGCAGCTTCCTTTTCGCGTAATTGGCGGAGAAAAAGTGGTTCACAGTTGAAAGTCTGCGCTGCAAAAACACGAGAGCGCAATAAAGCATAACATCAGCGGGCTAATCTCGACTCTGGAAACGCAACGCAAACATCAGAGCTAGAGAGATACAAATTTTCACTCTCACCAAAGGCAGAGGAAAAGGGAGCGAGAAAATAACACGAGAGAGCCGCTTTACAGCATTTTGTTATTTTATGAAAGGATTTTACCGAGCATGAAGTCAGAAGTGGCGTTGACTTGTTTCGACTACTTGTATATCAGCCGGCCTGCGAGTTTATTAGGTGTTGTTACATTTATCTATCGCTGCATCTGCGCGGATCAGTGAGCAGGCAGCCGAGCACGAGATGTTACTGCTGCTCATACTTTTGTTTCAAAGCACAAAGGAGGTTTAGTGGAGGAGGCGTCGCTCCATAAACAGATATCAGCCCGGCTGCAATATCCAGCAGGGGTGCTAGCTAGGGTAGGTCTATCTGGGGCGTACATCAGTGCTGATATTCGCACAAGTTGTGTGACAAGGCGATTTCCTCGGTGCGATACACACGCACCGAATTTCCTCCCGAGTTTTTCATAAAGTAGCTTTGGCGCGCCGATGGATAAATTGAAAATCTTATCAGCCGGCAAACACATCGCGAACAGACGTGTGCACGTGAAAAACGAGACGACGCGCCCGCCGCCGCCGCCCCCGCACCACCGGCGCAATAACTTCGCGCGCGCGAAGGACGTTTTAATCAAAACTTTTGCGTCCGCTTTTTGTGAAATTCACAATGTGAATAGTAGACGAGTGCCACTTTTACAACTCTCAAGTAGCACTGATTTTTAAAAAAATTTTTTTTTAAATAAGAACAAAATATTTGTATTATTAGGTATGTTGCTCACACGTGCTTAATAAATATTTGATTGATTAAATATACAATTTCAAATGATGATTGAAGTCCAAATTTGGATTCACATAATATTTCAATACATTATTTATTACAATTTTCTCTTCATTTTTTTTTTTACCATTATTCAAATCAAAAGTCACGGGGGATCATTGGGATGTATAAATCTATCAGCAATAGTATCTATATGGTACAAATGATGATTTAAATTTATTTTATGTTTAACTCGTCTAAATTTATAAATATAAAAGTATCAAAGAATCAATTAAAAAATTCTATATTGCCTAAAATTATTTTAAATTTTTAATATATAAATGTGAACATATATATATGAAATGTTTACTAACTTGAATTTTTTAATGTTGATGTTTACATAACAAGTACATAAAAATAATAATAAATAAAATATAAAATATTTAGATTATTTAATTTACTCATATTTCCCTTTTCAATTTTTTTTTTGACAAGTAGAATAACTAATAATGAATAATTCAAACAGAATAGGCATCTTCTTGCATATAACTTTGAAACATTAACAAATTTAGTGACTCGCCCTTTTTATCTATCAATTTTAATCCCTTCAATCAAATGCATCATTACTGTAAATCGATTGGAGTAATGCAACAAATATTTAAGGCTGTGACCAACCGCTATATCAATGAGAAGATAACGCGTTGACACCTAACTGCGCCTGTTGTACCCAGCCTTGAATATTCAACATTAGCCTAATCTCATTCTCTCCTATCAACCCGATTCGAGCTGGGCTGATACCAAATTCTCCGGTCGGTCTCTATCATTTTTCGGTCAACTTTGGTGCAGCAAAAATGCAGGATGGAATTAAAATGGGCGGCAGCACTCGGTCCCGCCGTTTTTGGATCATTTTGGTATCAGCAGTCATAGGGGTGCCGGTTTTCGTCATTTTGGTCCTGCTGATGGTGGTTTTGATCCAGGCGGCGGTGATCACGGCACCGCAGGGCAACATTGCGATTTTGAATAATGCCAATACCGAAGGAATCACTGACGGGAAAATACAGGAGCGAGCACAACGATTGGCCGGAATTCTGAAAATAGAGACAGTGTCCTACGACGAAAACAACCAGAACAAGTCCGAGTTTCTGGTTCTTCACGATTACCTAAGTGACAGTGAGTATAATACTTAAAAAATGAACAGAATAATTAACTTATCTCTTTTGTTGAAAAGCGAATAATCTAACACTTCAGAAGCGTCAAAACTCAAAATTTTAATGCCTCTTATTAAGGATTATTAATTTTTTTGTGCTTTATAAGAAACGTTGATGTTAAATATTAAATATTTCAATCATTTTATTAACTTTGACGTAATGTTGCAGGTTTCCCAAATATTCACAGCAGTCGTTTTGTCGAAAAATATGTGGTGAACAAGTACAGCCTGTTGTACAAAGTGACCGGTTCAACGCGCGGAAAGCTTCCTTACTTGCTGACGGCACACATGGACGTGGTTCCGGCAACGGCCGCAAACTGGGAACATCCCCCATTCGGTGGTGTCATCGTAGACGACGTAATTTGGGGACGCGGCGCCATAGACGATAAGGGAAGCGTCATGGTGATTTGATTAACACACGCACGAGCAGAATTCGATAACGCATTCATAAATCGTTTCGCGACAGGGCATCATGGAGGCTTTGGAGTATTGGCTGAGTCAGGGGGTGCAGCCCAAGCGGACCTTCTTCATCGCGTTTGGCCACGACGAAGAAGTGAGTGACGCGATTTGCATTGATCAGAAACGGGATTTCTAATTTCCTGTTCCTCTCATACAGCTCTCAAGCATGTTTCAAATGAATGCATATTTTTATGCCTAAAATTAATTCATGTTTAAATTCCGTTTTAATAATAATCATGGATTTAAGCTAATGTATTTTTTTTTTATAAATAATTTAAATATTATCAGACCGGTGGAAACAAAGGGGCGTATCATCTTGCCATCAAACTAAGAGCATTAGGGGTTGAAAAGCTTGATTTCGTGCTGGACGAAGGGCTAATGACCACTGATAAGATTCTACCTGGCGTTACAAAACCAGCTGCACTGTGAGTATATCAAATTTTATTCTTTTACCAATAAATAAAACTCTCCAATAGGATTGGAGTGTCGGAAAAAGGATTTTTGAACGTCCAACTGGAAGTCACGGGGACATTGCAGCACTCCAGTTTCCCTCCAGCTGAGACCCCAATTGGAATTTTGGGCCGAGCCGTTGGGAAGTTGGAGGAAAACAAACACCCAATTGTTTTTGGAACTGGTCCTGAAAGCGACACATTTCACTACGTATCCCCTGATGTCTGTTGCAAATTTATTTTTACATAATTTATTTAAAATAAATTATTCGTTCTATTTTAAATAGACTGATTACGGAATAAGGATTTTCTACGCCAATATGTGGCTCTTTGGCCCTCTGATGGCTTCAATTATGCAGAATGACCCTCTTCAAAGCACTGTTGTAAAAACTTCAACCGGTCTAACCATGTTCAACAGCGGCGTTAAAGTAACAAATTGAATTTTTTTTTTGCTAATTATTTAAAATATTAAATTTTATAGGACAATGTGATTCCGGACAAAGCAACCGCCTTAGTAAACCACCGAGTTCATCCTGGGCAAACTATTGACCAAGTTATCGAGCACGACCGATGGGCCATAGGTGACGACAAAGTCAAAATCACACAGACAGCCAGAATGGACCCCCATCCCGTTTCTCCTTTTGGTCCCGAAGCTCTCGCGTACCAACTGATTTCAACTTCCATTTACCAAACTTACGAAAACGTCGTGGTTGCACCTTGTAATTTTAAAATACCAAATTTAAATCAATATGACTAAATGTTTAATTTGCAGGCATAATGATTGCTAACACGGACACAAACCACTACTTGTCCTTCACAAATAAAGTTTACCGATACGTTCCTGTCTCGGTGACTCCGGATGACGTGAGCAGGTACCACGGGGACAACGAGCGAATCCCAATCGACGACTACGCACACATGTTGGACTTTTACTTCCGCTTCATGCAGAACTCCGACCTGGTTTTCGACTTGGCGCCGAACGAGACGCAGGAGCTCGGCGACGAGTTGTGAGAGAAGATTGATTTTGTGACAAATAGACACTCGACACGAGCACACTTAGTCGGGGCCGTTTGCTTTTTACATTAAAAGTGACGACTGCGAGAACTTTTTAATTTCATTCCAAAGAGCAGAAGGCGGCGAGAAACTTTTCTGGCGAACTAACTCGTCGTGGGGGAAAGCGAAAGGCATGTGCGGGAGTGCCGGCTGAGCAGGGCGGCAAATCAAAACGACGCCGACTCTGCGAAATGAATTCGTCTACAAATTGAATTAAGTTGCAGCGCGACGGGCACGGAAAAGCATGAATTTGATCTAGATTTAATTGATGACCTATCATATTTGATTTTTCTATAATGTATAAAAATTTGGCTCGTTTTAATTGTTTTTAGCACACTAATAACTATAAAATAAATTAATTTTATATCAAATTCAATATTACCGTATAATTTTAATTAACTGAAAGATGTTGCAATGCTATTAGGGATCAGTTGAGGATAAAAAATTAATATATGCCTAGATAAACGGGCTTAAAATAGCTTAAAATAATTAATTAATAAATATTTGATATTATTTTAATTTTCTTTCAACAGTAATATGTGGAAAATTTTGTTGAAAAAATTGGCAAATTGCTCAAATTTTCATCATTATTTTTGTTTTGTGCAAGAGAAGTTAGGGTTTCAAAATTAATACTCCATACAGCAGGTACAAAGAGAGGAAGAGAGCGAAGACACCTTATTTACATGTCAAAAGTGGACAGGCTGCAACAATGGGCGTGTGTGTGTAGCGTGTTTGCGCTGATATTTAGAGCTGACAAGGATTACACTACTTGGGCCGGCGCAAACACACAGAGATAGATGTTCGGACGAGCATGTTGTGACGCCTTTTGTACATGTGATACTGCGCCGCATTACCTGATGCATGAATTCGAGCGGGGAGCTGACTGAATATAATCCGACCGCCGCTATCATTAAATACAAGTACAATGCAGGCAGGACGTGTGAGCGTCAATTGTGTTTCGTGTTTATTGACTTGCATCACTGAATGCGTCTCTCTCTCTCTCTCTTGCACACAATATCGCAGAGTGGATGGACGAGTGCAAATCTATCGACACCGGCCGAGCATGATTTATGAACAGCTAGCACGTCCAGCTTGCTAAACAGCCCCGTATTAATTGAATGCACTTGGCGCGACGCCGATGGTGGAATTTCCGCGGATTTATTAATTAACGCCGCAACCAGCCAGCCGGTGGATTTTCCATATTTAATTGGATCGCAGCACAGTGTCGCTTCCACTTCAATGGCCAGTTGAAATGGTTGACGTTCAACTGATTTTCAATTTTACTGCTGCACTATTGGAAAATAATATTATTGTGTAGAATTGCGTTGAAAATACTCTCTAAGATTTATTTAAAATGACTGCAACTAATTTTAAGAAAATTGCTAAATTTTGACAGACATATTTTTTTATTATTAGCAACTTTTTTATTATTATGTATTTAATATTTTTTTCTAGTATACGTTGGTCTTAAGATTAGCTAATTTAGTGTATTTTAGTTCAAAGTACATATTAAAGCATAACTTTGCAAAAACATTTTGCCTGCTACTTTTCTAGCAAGTAAAACCAGAAAGAGTTACACAATTGTAATAAGACAAAATCATGATCGTTTCATTTGTTGCATTATTTATTTCATTAGAAAAATAGAATTGAGATATTATGTGTCTTCACTTCATAATTATATTTAATTAGTTGATTGAAAATTTTGCAGTATAGATATTAATTAAATACAAGTGGATAAATAATTGTAGATAAAATAATGATTGAAATAGGGAGAGAACTTTGGCAATTCAAAACTTTGAAAGATTTACGGTGCCAGAAATGAGAGTCGAAGTTGAAAAATAAATATCCGGCGTGCGAAGGCATTAATTTCAATTGCGGAAATTCGACGACGCACCCTTTCTCTCCGTGTTTGTATAATTTGCAGCGCGCAACTTTGGTTGGCTCCCTCCGCAATTTTGAGTCTGGGCGCAAAGTTGGTTGCTCGAATTCATTTCATTAGTTTCACATCCTTGCAATAAATTCCGGGGCCGAGTTTGGTCGCGCACTCACTCGAGTGTGAATATTAATGCCGAAAACGCGTGTTGTCTGCCGACGATAAATAAGAAGCGCTGCGTGTAAAAAGTTCTTAATGGTCCAGTCCAAAGTGACGCGAGGCAGTAAATTAAGAGAGAAATGACGACGAGGAGTAGCATGTTGTTTGCGTTTCTTGTTGGCACCCGAAACGGAAAGAAGAAAACTCCCAGAGAAGAGAAATATAGGCATTCGGACGCTTTCAAAAGTTGTCCCAGACTATGTGCGAACATATGTTTTTGTGTAATTTTTCTAACCAAGCGGGACTGTACTTTCTCCACCGCGCGACTATATGATAACTCGTACTTTTCTCCTGCGCTCGGAAAAGTTTCCACGGTTTTTAGCAGCGGGTTTAGTGCACTTTAGTTTCTTTCCAGTTCTCCGTGTTTGTGCATAAAGTATGAGCCGGCGATGAATAAGTCACGAGGCGCTGCAGAGAATTGCCAGCAGCAGCGACCCACCCTTGCTGCTTCCTGATGCACACGATGATTCTCTCGAGGATAATTCGCGACCGAGCCATAAAAGTCCGACTTTGTTTTTACACCTTTCCAGATGTGGTAATAACAAAAACACATAAAAACAGCCGGCCATATTTCCAACCCCGGGCCGATTTCGCATTATAAAATTTTAAACCGCATCAGGTGGCGTCATCTGCTTATTATTAAAAGCACCTGCCACGTTTTTGTCATTAGCAGAGACGTGCGAGGGGTCGTAAAAATTCTTGCAAGTTTTGAGGGAGCTTCTCTCGTCGTGGCGCAGAGGGCGTGCGAATTAAGGGAGGCAGTCCATTAGTCTTAAAACGTCAGCCGACAAAAGACACCGTCGCTGTGTGAAAATTGCTACTTTAATGAAGTTTTATCTCCAAGCCCGAGACGCGCACACCCCGTAATTATGCGCGCTCGCGACGCAAAATTGCACTAATTTGTTCTACTATAAAAGGCAACAGTGTTTGTTATCCCCCCGATTTTCTTTCTTCTCTAAACAATGAGGACAAACGAGCCGAGGTTTTAATCCGCGATAATGAGTTCGAAAGTATAAAAATAGCCGCTTGGAAACAATGGCAGAGATTTCCACCCTGTCAATTTCGCCCCTCGAAACTTTTGCTCTTTCTTTCTTCTTCCGTCGGCGCCTGCAATAACTCACAAATGCGACACTGTGTCGGCGCACGAGAGAGGAAAAGTCTGCGGGGAAAATATACTCAGCGTCCGGTTTTTTTCCTGGTTTGCAAAGCTAAATGGCGCGTGAAAATTTTAAGATATCAAAGTCGAAACTCACCTCCGATTTTCCTTTGGACACACAATTGGCGACGTTGCTTGGCTCCAGCTGCAGAGAGTCTCTCTGAAAATTAAATACAAAAATAAAATATTATTTTCGTGGAAAATTATTTTAATAGCAAAATAATATGTGGGTTTTATTTCTAAAAATGTATTACAATAATAAACGGCTGTTCTTGTTTGGGCAAATTTAAAAGTGAGAATATATTAATTTAAAAATAATGTAAAATAAAAAAAAAATGGTTTAGTTCAATATCTGCAAGATAGTAAAATAAAAATGATATCATATTAATTTTTTTTTTATTTCTTCATAAGGCTGGTTACAGAAATTTCAACGATTTTATACGATCAAATTTCCTCTTTTCTTTGTTTTGAAATAAATGTTTTAGAAAAGCAGACAAATTATTATGCATGCTAATTAAATTAGCGTCAAAAGCAGTCCGTCCCCTTGAGGGCCCCGCGGCGCTGCGCAAATTGCAATTATCTCCAGGCAAATTGGAATTATGGCTGCAATAAAAGCTGCGCTGCCGACACAAACAAAAGCGTGGTGTATTACAATTTTCCTCTTTCCTAAGGAATGTGCAGTACAAATCAAAGCCACTCGAGTCTGGAGAGGGACCTTTTGAGTGTCGAATTAAAAAAGGGTTTCCATGGCGACAGACGCGCGCCCGGCGAATTATTATTATGACTGCGTCGCAGACTCTTTGAAGTTATCGAGTAGTAATTCAATCAGACTTAGGCCACAGAGACACAACGGGTATGCTCGTCAAATTGCCCGCTATCTCAATATCAAACTACGCGCCTGCACGTTTTGAGTAAACGAGTGGCACGCGTGTCTGATGTGCATGGAAACGGTGCGAGGGGGCTCTGGTTTAATTCGATTAACTGGGCCTGCTGGCCATTACTTTGTTTGATCTCCAATTATTTGATTACGCCGAAAGTGATCCTTCCAGCAGCTATGACGAGGGAGGAAAAATGGAATTTATGTGCAAAGTATCTCAAAACATTCACTCATGCATAAAGGGTTTGTTTAGTAAGTCTGGTATAACGTAATAAAATGTTTGGATGGTAACAGTGGGTTTGAGTGGATTTTTGTTAAGTTCAGCTGAAATATAAAAATGTAATATCCAATTTACAATATTTGTGGAATAAATTTTTTTTAATTTAATAATCTTATTTTTAATTTCATGGTAACCGCTTTGTTTCATTATATATGGACAAATAATTTTTTACATTTGGATACCCTAGAATTTTCTTCATATTAAATTATGTAGCACATTTTAGTTCTCGATTGATATTATTGACACATTCAAGTTAAATTTTTTTGATAGTTATTTAAAATATTAACACATTAAAAAAAACTTTGAAAGTAATTGCGTTTGGGCAAGAATACAGTCTTAATTTAGAAAATCTAAGAAACTCAATCTTTTCAACCGCTACGGTGAAAATTGGCCTCAAAAACTTTTACCGCGCACTCGCAGTAATTAAACGCGCTTTTAGAGTTTATGATAAGGAGTGCAAAGTAGGCATTTCTTGAGCGAAAACGCACCAAGCCCTGTCGGCAGAAGTGCTGATTAATTATTATTCCATCTGGTTTTACTGCCAGAATCAAGAGGGGGTGCTTGCTTGCTATGGGAAAACAAGCAGAGAGACCGTTTGAAAATCCGTCTGGCCGAAGATATAATATTGTGAAGAGCGACCCTCTGATTCACCAGCAGCAATATTAACTCTCGGGCTGAAGCCGCCGCACCAACGGTCATAATCAAATATAGAAATGGCTTCCATCCGGCCGTTGAGGCCGTTCTCTCTTTTAAACAAACAGATCTGTATTAAAATACCACTCAAAGATGAGGGTTTGATCATTCTAATGCAAGCGGAGATGATGTCACTCTCAGCAGAGGCCAAATTGTTTCCAATTGGGCCGAATTCGGCGGATTAACTCGGCTCTCCAACTGACCGTTTTCTGTTTGCTGAGCAGAACCGAGTGAGTAATCGGCACTGTGTTCTGCTGAGGGAATTATACGGGTCAAGAAAAGGGCTGAAAAGTTTGCCAGAGCGTGCTGAAAGTTAGCAAACTTCTTTCTGGATAGGGCTGTGCAATTAACGAGCGAGTTGTAATTCCAACTTGGAATCAAAATTTCTCGTTGTAATAGTTAAAAAATTAAATTATGATGAGTTTACGTTTAATTTATCTTCTTGAAATTCTTCAATTGATTCACAAAAACTCTCCACAGCTAGCCCTGAACGTCACAAGGCTGGTAAAGGTGCCACTTTTCAGCAATATTACAATAGTATCGTGCCAAGGGGACTTGGAGGAATAATCATATACAAAAAAGAAAAGGCAATATTTTGCATTTAGTGTGGATTATAAATGTGTCAATTTTGGAATTCAGTAAGCCTAATTAAGTCATGTCTTGTCTCCTAATTAAAAAATAATAATTACAATGTGGCAGAAAAATAAAATATTTTGAAAGCGGTGAGAACTCTTGGGAGAGGACGCGTGTGAAGTTTATTTGCATTTTCATTGGTTTCCCATAAAATTATACTTGCACACAATAATAATAATAACACACGGGTGCAATTAAAATTCGGTAAAATATGTAATATTCACGCAAATGAATTCCCAGGCGCTTTATCTCGTCGTAATTAATTTCGTGTGCTATCGGAATCACATAAAATTATTGCCGCACGCAAGCCTTAATTGCGAGCCCGTCGAGGGCCTGCAGATAACGCGCACCGCTTTTTTAATGACAGACTCTGCGGAATTAATTGCGAGTGAAATTCCGAGCGCGTCCGAACCGTTCGAGCAAATTAGTTTTCGCTCTTTACGACTACGTCGCCCGCGAGAGGTAATAGATTTTTCTTTCGCCCGCCGTCTTTCTTTGTTGCTAAAAGGGAGGAAAGCAGTCGTGGAAATATATTACCGAAATCGAACCAATTGCCAGCCGACTTTATTGCCGCAAATCCACATTCTTCACGCGCGGCCGTGAGCGGGCGCAGATTGGTCTTTTCACCCGCGCCGTCGATATTCACGGAAAATCTAAGCAGATGTGGAGAGAGGAGGAAATAACGTCTGACGCTGCATTTCCCTGCAATACTTCTTGATCGGAAGAGAAATCGCGTATTTGCAAATGCATTTATTCTGCTTGTGGCGTTTAAAGTACTTGTTGGAGTGTCGACGCCGCGACAGATTGAAAAATGGAAGAGAGCTTTTTCAACCTGCTATGTAGGATAAACTTATTCTCCGATGAGAGTGTAAATCAACACACTGCACTTTTTTGCTTTTGTAAAAAATAAATTTAATTTAATTTTAAAAATTATTTTCAGTATTATTTGTTCAGTTAAATATCAAAAATTAATTTAAATTTTTTACGTTTCATTTTTTTTTTAAATTATTGCTATTTATATTTGTAATTGAAAAGAATATTCTATATGATTTATAAATTTTGTTTTAAACCTACGTAAAGAAAAATAATAATATCAAAGTCAGCTATTGAGGGATAATAGTGTGAATGTATCCAACGGCGACAGTTAATTATATTCTTCTATAGCTACTTCTTTGTTACTTTGAGTTAAACGGCCTGATCCAATTATCAGAAGTAATTAAGACATATAAATTAATAAAATTAATTTATAATACTATAAAATAAAACGCTGTCTATCAGACTGTAAAATTTGTAAGCATTCTATAAATTATTGCTTTTTTCAAGTTAATTAATTGAGTTCAATCTAAACAATGTTGTAATTTTTTATACCAGCTTTTTAAATAAAGAAAGTAGAATCTCAAAACTGAAATATCCAAATGCGAGATAGCAAAGGAATAAATTATACTTCGGATTCAAATCAATCTTGTTATCTGAAGTTTAAATGTACTCCAGAATAATGTTTATTTTAATGGAAATAAGTGAAATTTTGAACTTAAAAAGTGCAATATAAATTATATTCTAATAACATTCTAAAAAATTATTTCCTGAACAACTTTACCACGTGAAATATTATTATTTTTTTGTTTTAAATTAGCAATTAAAGAGCGAAGATGAAATTGTGTTACAAATTAAACAAAAGATAGAAAATTTCCATGTTTTACTCACCTCGCAGTTGGAGTGGCTGATATTGCTCAAGTTGAGCCTGAAGACGCGGTCCCTGCAACAAGAAAGTAAAAATTAAGTCGCACATTCCGAAATTCATCAAGGGGGACAAAAATTTCCGCACTAATTAAAACGCCGGTTGTTTGCTTAATCCCCCCGGAAGAGATATTTGCATGGGAGACGCGTAAAAATGAAGCGCGCCTTATCAAAGGGCGGCAGATATGAGCAATGGGGTGGTTGGCGGCGAAAGCACCGCCATTACCGCACGACGACACACCAAATTAGGCCTGATGTTAGGCAGAAGGATCAAGGGGGTCAGCAAATAAAGCAGCTATGCACAGCAGCCTAATACTCTTTCCGAGACTGCAAAGGGGGAAGCAAGTTTGGCAAAGGGAGGAGGGAAGGCGCGCGTTATTTTGGGGGCATAATGTTATTATAATATTACGATCTGTCCCTGCTAAAGGGGTAGTTTGCTGAGATGAGATTTTCTCTGTGGAGTGTCACGCAGAAATATTTACACACTCGCGCCTCTCTCTCTCTCTCTCTCTCTCTTGGTTGCTCAAACATTTTGCGGCACCCTTATCTCGGCCCAAATGGCACCGGCGAGAAGTAAAAAGTTGCGCTGCTGGATGCTAGATTTTCATCTTCGCCACACGTACATACATTTATTTTTTCGTCACACTTACACGTTTCTGCATCATGCACTCACTCCCTTGAGAGAGGCGTGTAACATAAAAATACGTGCAAAATAGGTCACCGAGATAAAGATAAAGGACCGTGGAGTGGTGCGGGATGCATTTTTCATTTCTTTTATGCAAAAACGGCTTTTTAAGATATTCTTCGGAGACGAGGTCGGAGGAGGGATTTGTTTGCAACCTCGTCATGTATGTGCTTAGCTTAAGTGTCATTGCGTTTCTATTCAAACTCTCGTCTGCACCTCGGGAAAAAGTACTTTAGTTGTAATTTCTTTTCTCAAAGTTGAAAACTAGATCAAAATCCCTCTTGTTTTGGTATAATGATGAGGTTGTGTGCATGTAAAATCTATTTGCTAGGCTGGCGTGTCTGTTGGAGATCAAGTTTTTGCCACATATACACAGGAAATGGGATGCGTGTCAGCCTAATGCGCGTAATACCTCTGGTAATCTGGCTAAAATCATATCTCAGCCGGGGCAGGTCTAAAAACGGCAGCCTTAATTAAAGCCAGAGAAGTGCGCGAGAGATGATATTACACTGCCAACCACGCAGCCGCCGCCGCACTTAGAATCGCGAGTTTATCGCGCGCAGTGAGGGAAGGGGTTCTTAAAAGCATCTCGCTCCGTCTCCTCTGCGATATTAAATATTCATGTATTTTGCCGTCGTCTAATTTAACGGCTCAGTTTGGAAATATGCTTTGATCATTATTTGGAGGATTAATTTAATATTCCGTCTCGCACACAGCAGCAAGAAGTGCTGGAATTGTTTTATTTGTACCAAACTTTTGAGTTGATTACCAACTTTTTCCTTTCCGCCCAACAAGTTGACGTATGTTTGCGCAAAAAGCCACGAGCGCTGCCCCGGTGAACTCTGCCGGGGGAAATGCGCGAAATAACCTCCGCTTTTCTTTCTTTGCTTGTTTGCTCAGACTGTCTGCTGGCTGCAGTGGCCGGGCAAAAAGTTGACCACCGCGTGCTGTTTCGTGTCATTTTCCGCACCTAACGCAAAATTGGCCTCTCTGCAGACAAACATTGAGATTGCCGTTCCAAAAGATTCTCTCGACTGCTCTCCTTGAAAACTTCCATCACCGGGGTGAAAAAGTCGCAGCCTTTGAAATTGGTTCGGTCGCTCGCTCCAGATTGCCGAGCGCCGTTTGTTCTCTCCGGGACGAAAGTTTGATTGCAGCGTTTAAAAATCATGAATTTTCTTCTGTTAGTTTTTCATGTAACAAAGATAAAAATAAGTTTGGCGACAAAAATTTCAAGGTTGAAGATTTATGAAGCTAATGACAAGATTATGTTTTTGTACCCACCAGAAATTATATGATTCAAAACAAAAGTCCTAAACATAAGTAAAACTCAATTTTTTTTTATTATATTATTAAAGAGTTATAATAATTAGCATTTTTAATAACTAAATGAATGCCTCCAATTTAAATAAAAAACCTCAGATTACAATGTATTTTTAATCAATGGGGGCCTATACAACAATGGAATTCAGTATTCAATGTTGTGGACCAATCCGAAATGGCACAATCAAACATAACGCCTTTGATTGGCTAACAACAATGAAAAATAAATTTCATTGTTGGTATGAACCCCCCACTGTTTAAAGAGTGAAAATTCAAATAATTTATGCTTGAATTTGCATCATTGATTTACTATTTACATATCAAACACAAAAAAGCATAAAATGTAATTTGAATATAAAAATAAAATTTCAATTTTTAAATACAACCAAATCTCCTTATAATCTATACTGTGTGTTGTGGATTCGGGTGAAATGCCGAAACAACAGCTTGCTTGTCGCTCAGCAAGCGGATTAGTCTGTCATTATGTTGCAACTCGCAAATCCTAGCGGGCACACACTCACAAAGGGGCCGATTCATCCCCAACAAAGGCCTCGCTCGGTCGCCTACGGTGTTACTTTTGAGTCGGGCTCCATTACAGCAGTGTGTGGTCAGCGGCTGCATTATTGCTCCAGGGCCGAGCTGGAAAGCGTATATTTGCATACAATTGCTGCAGCGGACTAGAGCTGCTAAAAACAATAACGTCCCTAATGCATTTGTATCGTGGGCAGCATAAATCTGAAATCCATTACTCCGGAGGGCAGATGTTGCCACCGCTGCATTTAATGGTCTTCTGATGGATTGACCACCGCCTTGAATGCATTAGGGCAGAAAAGTTTATGATGGCAATCCGATTATCTTGACCTCTTGCTGTGTTATTTTTCGTTTAATTTCAGAGCAGGGTGGAAATTTTCCTTAGAACGGAGAAGCTTTAATTTGAATAGCAAAAGTGAAGCGTTTTATGTGCCTTCACTCGCATTCAGTTTCTCTCTAAAATTGCAAATTCCTCCAGAGCAGAGCTTTTCATTCAGTCAGTCTCTGAATTACATGAAATACCTGTGCTCGGCAAGGGAAGGCATCTTTTGTGATTGAATTTTATTGTTTTCCTATATATACGTGTAATGCCTGTGCAATAAAGGCGCGCCGGGTATAAACGACGTAATAGTGTAATGCATGTTCTTGGCAGCTATTTCATTTCCAAGAGAGAGCCTTTAATGCTGCATCATCACGTCTATCGTGCTATATCAATTTACTGTCTTCCTCACTCATTGTTGTAAAACAGCATTACAACAATAGATTTTCCAGGAACGCAAGAAATTTAAAACAAAGAGCGTCAAGATTTTAGTTCTATTGAAAATAATAGTGGCTTTTGTTTGCGATAATATGCAACCCATGTAACACAGATGATGGAATTTTATTGATTTCTTTTTAATTTCCATGTATACCGGAAAGATTGTATTTATATCAACATAAACCTTTAATTTAATTACTTTCTAAATAAAATTGTTTCTTTTATTTACTGAAGCTGGACCTGATTTGTGAAAACAAACATTTTTTTCTTAATGAGCAATTTAAACTGGTTTCAATAAAGCCCTTCCACGTTCAAGATGAAATTTTAAGGTTAAAAATACAAAATTCAAATTTTGTGGGTTCGCTTCTTGAATACTACACATTATAAGGAATGTTGTTATTTTTAATTTTTCAAAAGAGAAAGAATTTGTGATGGAATTTATATATTAATTAGATACAACCAGAGAAATAGATGTAATCGTGGCAAAAACAAGATGATAGCACGTCGCAGCAGAATCAGTGGAGTGTCTGTTGGACGTGCAGGAGCGAGTACATCCATCACCCTTGGGCGCCGTGTCTGCGCGAGCATGTGATGCGATGTTTGTGCCACGGCACCACTTGCTTAATTGCCGCCGTGACAATCTAATTAATTAGTCGCGATATTTGCACGACTGGTGCTGCTGCTTACTGCACAGTTTCCGCTTGATTTATCAGCTAGACGCGTCAACCGGGGCAGCCTAATAGGACGGCGGGGCATCAAAGTGCAGCATTTGCTACTTTCACGAGTCGCTGCGTTCCGACTGACAATGAGAATCATCGTCAACCCCTAGTCAATGTCATAGGCATCGAATTTATGATTTTATAGCTTGAATGATTCATCGCGAATATGATTTAATGCTACTTCTCGGAGATATGGAGATCATTAAATCCCTATTAGTTTATAAAAGTCAGAATAAAAAATATCCCATACACGAAAGAATAAAATAGTTTAATGCATAATATTAAATGTAAGTACACTGATTTTCGTGAAATTAAGTTTTTTCATTCAAAAATTTTATTAAAACAGAACTAGTTAGAGAACACTTTTCACCGAATAGCTGTTGATATAAAAATAATGTAAAATTAAAAGACAAATGAATATAAACAAAATTAAAATATATTTACACAAATATTAAAAATAACTTTTAAAATGAAATATTTTAATTACCAGATAAATAATTATTGATCTTAAAATTACAAGTTGAATATTAAACAAAGCACTAAATTCAAAACGTCAACTAGGAGCCACTGGACCTGACGTGCAAATATAATCTTTGTTTACCGCAAGTACAACGCAATCAAACTAGAGCCACGCACCACTGAATGCGACAACATTTGATTATACGATTAGTGCTCCGCCCGACACCTGTCAGTGTCATCTCAGGGGTGCAAACAACCCCCTTCTGCAAACACACACACGTGTCCTCCGAACATACAATCATTCTTTATATTGAGGAACCCGAAACTCAACGCTTTTAACCCTTTGAGCTGAGATAAGCAAACGTCTTAGCTGCGCTCAGCAAATATTTATGCGTTATTATTATATTCCTGTCTGGCGAAAGGGGTGTGTGGGTGTGAGCCATCAGAGTATCTCGTTTCCGAACCCGCCCCCTTGTGCAATTACAACCCCTCGTTTTGGCACCCAGCGTGTCGTGTTGGAGAATTTCAAGAAGGTGCGAAAAAAA